TGCACCAGAGAACTTCCAAAAAGATTGAGACTACTAGTAGGCCTACCTGATACATAGAAACAAACCCAAATAGGCAGCCAAAATGGGGAGACAAAAAAACAAGGCCCAAATAAAAGAAAAAGAGAAGTCTCCAGAAAAAGAGCTATATGAAATCGACATAAGCAATATATCAGATGCAGAGTTCAGAACATTGATTGTAAGGATGCTCAACAGCATGAAAAAAGATATGGAAACTATGAAAAATGACCAGTCAGAAATGAAGAATGACATAGCAGAAATAAAGAACACATTAGAAGGAATACACAACAGATTAGAGAAAGCTGAGGATCGGATTAGTGAATTAGAAGACAGGGTAGAAAAAAATTACTCAATCAGAGATCCAAAAAGAAAAAACAAATAAAAAACAGTTTAAGGGAGTTGTGGGACAACATGAAACGTAGCAATATTCACTTCATAGGAGTGCCAGAAAGTAAGTTAGGTCAAAAGTAAGCAAGGGTTAGAGAACCTGTTTGAAGAAATAATGACAGAAAACTTCCCTAACCTGGTCAAGGAAAAAGTCACACAAGTTCAAGAGGCACAGAGAGTCCCAAGTGATAAGAATCCAAAGAGGCCCATGCCCAGACACATCATAATTAAAATGCCAAGAATTCAAGACAATGAGAGAATCTTAAAGGCAGATAGAGAAAAGCAATCTGTTACCTACAAAGGAGCTCCCATAAGGCTGTCAGAAGACCTCTCATCAGAAACTCTACAGGCCAGAAGGGAATGGCATGAAGTATTCAAAGTAATGTAAAATAAGGATCTGAAACCAAAACTACTCTATGCAGCAAGGTTATCATTCAAGATAGATGGTGAAATAAAGGGCTTCCCAGAAAAAAAAAAAAAGGCTAAAGGAGTTTATGACCACCAAACCAGCATTGCAGGAAATATTAAAGGGATTGGCGTAGTTAAAAGTAGAAATAGAAGCATTGCAAGAAATGATAAAGGGACTGCTGTAATAATAAGAAGAAATAGAGAGAGAAACATAAGCATAAAGAATTAAAATGACAATAAATAAGAACCTATCAATAATAACCTTAAGGGCTTTAAGGGAGAGATCAATAGCAATATAGTCATAGTCGTGGATTTTAACACCCCACTGACTTCACTGGATAGATCTTCGAGACAAAAAGTCAACACAGAAACAGTGACTCTAAATGGCACACTAGATCAAATAGATTTCATTGATATTTACAGAACATTTCACCCCAAAGCCACAAAATAGACATTCTTCTCAAGTGCACGTGGGTCATGCTCAAAGATAGGCCACATGTTAGGACACAAAACCAGTCTCTACAAGTTCAAGAAGACTGAAATCATATCAAGCATCTCAGATCACAAGGGGATGAAATTAGAAATCAACTACAGTAAAAACACTCAAAAACCTTCCAACACATGGAGGCTAAATAGCATGTTATTAAACAATGAATGGGTTACCAATATCGAGAAAGAAATCAAAAACTTCCTGGAAACAAATGAAAATGAACATACAACCACCCAAAATCTATGGGAAACAGTGAAAGCAGTCCTTAGAGGGAAGTTCATAGCACTACAGGCCTACCTCAAAAAGCAAGAAAAATTTTTAGTAAACTACCTAACCCTACAACTTAAAGAATTAGAAATCTCCCCTGTGAAGCCATCTGGACCAGGGCTTTCGTTTGCTGGGAGTTTTTTTATTGCTGCTTTGATTTCATCAGTTGTTGTTAGCCTATTCAGGTTTTCTGATTCTTCCTGATTCAGTTTTACATGATTTCACTCATATGTGAAATCTAATAAACAAATAGATTGAGGAACAAAATAGATCCAGAGACACAGAAGCATGGAACAGACTGAGGGATCTCAGTGGGAAGGTGGGGTTGGGGGAGTGGGTAGGGAGAGATTAATCAAAGACCTTATATGCATATATGCATAACCCATGGACACAGACATAGTGTAGTGAAGGCCTGGGGTGGGGGGCACATGCAAGGTGGAGGGGACCAATGGGGGGGAAAAATGGGGAGATCTGTAATACTTTCAAAAATGAAGATAAATTTTTTAAAAACTACAATGATGGTTTTCTGTTTCATCAGTATCTCATCAAATTGCTCACAAGCATCTCCACCTCTTGCCATGCAATTAACCACTGACTGACAACACACGATGGCAAAGGGCATGGTTTACAAAAGTATACAGTTCATTTTGTAAATGATTTACTGTCATTTGGCTGCATGATGAGCTCTTGTGTTTTTTTTGGTTTGTTTTTTTGAGGGTGGGGGTGGTGGCAGTTCATAGGTATTAAGAGAATAGCAAAAAGAGTTAAATTATCATGAAAGCCTTCACTGCTAAACTAAGAAATAAATATCCTAAATTGTATAAAAACATTTTCTTACCAAAGCCCACTAAAAAATGAGAAACATCAGACAACATGGAGCTATCATGGGGAAAATAATGAATATCAAGGTCAAATTTATCAAGAGAATCATAATTTTTACCCTGATTTTTCTTTCTTCTTTCCATGTTTTAAGAAGCTACAAATTTAAAATTTGGCAAACTAATAATTCAAAACTGTCATTCATCTAGTTAAGGCTCCATGCCACAACTTTACTGACTCTGGTTTTCACGTGGGCCAACTGTAGCCTCCCAAGTAATCCAGCTGGTAAACCCAGGTAAACAAGCAGAAATGGAAACACAGGAGAACAAGATCATTATCCTCCTTCTAACTGAAAATCCTGCCCATTGCTTTATTTTTAAACCGCCACTAACATGTTTAAATTATAATTGCATCTTCTCAATGAGCACAATCCCTTATTATTGGAACTGGCAGGGGGCCTTGACATTTGAGTCACCATTTCATTATGTCTATTTCTTACCCTGGTATACAAATTAAACAGAAATATCAGCCAGATGAAATATGAGGGGGATCTGAAGCAGTAACTTTAAATTGAATTCATTTTTCTCAAATCTACCAAAATATATAGAGCAATTAACATTGGTAATAATATATTCTACTTCAGGCACCTTTTCAAAAATACTAACTTCAATTCTAAAGGCCAAAGATGTTACAAATCCTCTTAGCCAATTATTGTACTTCCATAAGACAGAACCAACAGCTTTAATATTCCCTATATTACAAAGATAGAATAATTCCAGTTTTAACACAACTACAAATATGGACAAAAATACACATTTACCAACTTTCTTCTAATCTAAAGAGCTTCAAAATGAGTAGCAAATATTGAATGTATAGATACTGCACATGTGAAAAATGTTATTTAAAACATCCTTGCCCTAGCTGGTTTGGCTCAGTGGTTAGAGCATCGGCCTGCAGACTACAGGGTCCCGGGTTCGATTCCGGCCAAGGGTACATGCCTTGTTGCAGGTTCGATCCCTAGCCCACGTTAGGGCGCGTGCAGGAGGCAACCAATTGATGTGTCTCTCTCACATCGATGTTTCTCTCTCTCTCTGCCTCTTACACTCCGAAAAGTAATGGAAAAAATATCCTCTGGTGAGGATTAAATAAATAAATAAATAAATAAATAAATAAATAAATAAATAAATAAATAAATCCTCCTGTGCAATCAAATAGGAATAATAAAATTCACTCAGACTTAAATATCCAAGTGTGTACCAAAATGGAAGATTCAGGCTTTTCCTTAGATGTTTTCAAATCGCTGAACTTATATGATGAAAACACTACTGAATTCCTTTTCCTAACTCACCCGATTCAGTTATACTAAATAAATATGCACCCTTCCATCTTTCTCAATTATTTTGTTTAAAATTTTTCCATTGAATTTCAAAATTATAAAAATGAATCAATTAGGAAACTAATGTTGATTAAAATCCTCAAAAATGTCTTTTACTCTGCCTTCAGGAGGCTATCTCCTTACTTTTTAAAAAATTATTGCAGGCACTCCAGAATACATGTGCACTACCCATTTATTGAGGTTTTAATTGTTTCTGCAACTCTTCCTTTGGTCCAGAGCAACCTATTTATTTCTGAAAGCCAACAGTTTTCCCACAATGCTTGGGAACAAGCCCACCACTTCATTTATCTTGACACAAAATACCGAAAAATCTCTATTGAAAACTAAATGTACATTCAAATGTTGACTCTGATAATTAACATTACTTTTTCTTTTACTTCCTAAAAGTATGTTACCAAACTTAAAATAGTCATGGCTGATTTTCCTTTACATTTCATTAATTTTAATATTGACTTTTTCCTAAAAAATATATTTGCCTGAGGGAATATATTTGTTTAAATTCAACTATTTTAAGATGTATTCCTGTTGCCTTTTCATCGTTTATTTATAATCCAGATGTTCCCAAAAGGGTTTCAAAAAAATTCACAATAAAGATTTCTAGTGTTCACTACATTCTCTCAAGGAGTAGACATGTTCTAAAGAAATGAGTCTTTATTTCAATATGAAAATTTAATTAGATCTCCTAAGACAGTCGCTTCATTTCCAACTTTTAGAAAACACATTATTCTGCATATTAAGACATAACTAAAATGTAAACCAGATGTTCCTAGATTATGAGATTTGGAACAGAACATGTTCCAAGTGTAGTTAGCTCCTGACCTATATTTATTGAAAGATAAGGCAAGCAAGTCCCACAATGTTGAAACCAGTCTTACCATTTCTCTTATCCTTTGACTTCAGCTGGTGGAAATATTCGTGGGTTTACAGTATCAGCTTTTTAATGAGTCCTATCATTTTTGTAATTACTATGCCAAGTGTTAATAAATGTCTTATTTTTATATGCTGAAATAAATTAATGGAAGAGGCAAACACTATGCAAAATGGCTGGGAATAGGGCCAAATCTTATTACATACATCTAGGGACCAGTAATTTTCAAAATGGCACTTCAAGCTCTCTTGCCTAAATAATTACAAGTACAGCCAGCATGTAATTTACTGAAATAACTATGTACTCTTCTAGTTCCCATCACCCATCTCAAGTTCACGGCCACTTACCTTGTCTTTATTTTCAGTGCCAGAAGCCTCCGGCTTGGTCCTAATCACAAATGGGGTGGACAGTCGCAGTAGGACCCTTTCGAAGGTGGCGTTTACCTTCGGGGAAACGATCTGGAAGCAGTCCTCAAACTTGAGCACTTTGTGAGTGTCGCATCGGAGCTGCTTCCTCAGGCCTTCCCCCAGCTGAAGGACTGCCATGTGGGGGTCAAACATCAAGTGGAAGGGGAAGGCTCTGCAGAAGGTGTTGATGCTAATTCTGAGGTCCTCGGGAACTTGGGAGGTTCCCTGTGGGAGGTTCTTTGTGATATTAGTATTTTCACATTCTTTGATGAGGAAGGTAAGACAGCTACAGTTGCTTGGGTTGGAGCCATCAGAGCACAGTTTCTCATTTGCAACCTGCTCCACTTCCACATCCAGCCGATAGATCTTCTTTCCAGCCGCCTTGATCATGCCCAGCATCGCAAAGCCCACAATATGGTGAGGGTGGAAGTAGTGGAGCATAAGGGTCCCTTCAGGGAGCTCTTTGCATAGGAATGAGGGTGACTCCAGGGTGGCCTGCTTTCCAAAAGAAGTTCTAATGTGTTCCAGCAAAGCATCGAAGCCATTAAAAAAGTCCTGCAACGTGCCGCCTACAGCTCGAAGGACTCGCTCATTCTCATCGAAGCATGTATTAAAGAACTCCTCACCAAATCTTTCTTGAATTTCCTCAAACTTCAAACCTAGAGGCAAATGGGAAGCAAATGTTAATGAAGAACAAGCTAAGTAATTGGATTGATAGCTTTTTCATACTTATCAAACGAGGCAGCTAGCGAGTAAGACATGAGAGGCCCACCAACTGCCCAAATAGCTTAATTCATTCATTTTGACTTAGCGAAAGTAAATTCCCCCTTCTGGGTGGTTCTAAGATGTTAATGAACATAAACTCTTTTGTTTGTTTGTTTGTTTGTTTATTTTTTAACAGGCTTTATTTTTAGAGCAGTTTTAGAGTCACAACAAAATTGAGCAGAATGTAAAGATATTTCCTATATACCCCCATCCGCCTCCACACACAAGCCCTCCCACCACTGTCAACATGGTGCACTACAGCAGTACATTCGTTACAATCGACGAACCTACGGTGACACAACATTCTCTCTCAAAGCCCATAGTTTACATTAGGGTTCAATCTTGCCATTGCACTCCTTGGGTTTTGACAAATGTATAATGACTTGTCCATTATATATCATCCAGAGTAGTTTCACTGCCCTAAAAATTATGTTTCACCTATTCATTTCTCTCTTCCCACCCCTGGAACAATAACTTTTAAAAATGCTGCTAATCTAATTTTCCTTTTCAATGCCCTACTCCATTTGCTGTAATTAGCACAAATAATACCTTTTCCTTAATGATTTCCCTCATTGTTAAAGTATCTTTATAGAGGCAACTATAAGATTGACTCTATATTATGTCCATCCAATACTACCACCTTACTTATCAAAATTTATTTGTTAAGTGGGAAATATCAACCAGAAAGGGAATCTGTGGTATATGAGTGAAGAAAGGCATCAGGTTATCTAAGGTAAATAGAAGGACTGTCCTGTAGGTCAGCTAGACCCCAGGGAGAGACAAAACAAGGAATTAAAAATGGTAGAACTGTGGAATGTTTTGCATTCTTTCACCTACAAAAGAATAGCCAAGAGTGGAGTAGGAATCTGAGCAGATAGAGTTAAAGGTCTTTGTTAAGTTTTCTAAGTTCATACTCACTCCTAGATGCTGTGGCAAAAAGAACTCTACCTTATAGCAATGTATTTACAATGAAAAATACATGCATATATACATAGACACACACACACAATACATTATGTAGTGATTAGAAACAGAGGCACATGTGATCAAGTAGATTCAGCCTTAAGGATGATATCAGGAAAAATAAGGAGGGAATTCATGGTTTGAAGAGGAATACATATAGAAGAGTTGAATCTGAATGCTAAAGAAAGGCTGCCCTGGCCAATATGGCTCAGTTGGTTGGGCATCGCCTCCTGCACCAAAAGGTTACTGGTTCAATTACAGGTCAGGGCACATGCCCTGGTTGTAGGCTTAATTCCTGGTAGGGGGCATGCTGAAGGTAGCCAATCAATGTTGCACTCTCACATGGATGTTTCTCTTTCTCTTTCCCTCTCTCTTCCTTTCTCTCTAAAATCAATAAAAATATTAAAAAAGAAAGCTTCTATTAGAGTCACTCTACTGCTTCTCCTTTGACTTTGACTGTGCGGGGAAACAGGATTTTGCTACCTCAGAATATATCTCTTTGTCATTAGGTTATTTTAGGCTGATTATTTTAAGAAACAAAAGACTCAGGAAGGGCTTTTTACCTCCCTCTTAATTGCCTAAAAGAATTTAGATAAACTGCCTGGTCCAGGAGGAGCTTTCACCAGAGATAACTACAAAGAATATGGGTTAGGTGTGATAGGACTTAGAGACCAAGTCCTCTCCGTATCCCATTGTCTCTTCATGGCCCAGGAAATAGATGTTTTTCCATCTCCATATGATTACCTTCTTCCACTCTAAAGTAGCGGACTCCTACACCCTCCTTAGTTCAGAATGGCATATAAGCCCAAATTGCTGACCATCTGTGGGCCCCATATTCTTACAGAGTCCCAGTACGTGTGTAATTAAATTGGTTTTTCTTCTGTGAATTTGTCTCATGTCAATTTAATTCTTACACCAACCAGAAGAACCTAGAAGCATTGAAGATTTTTCCCCCTCCCCAACAGCTAAAATCAATGCATGTCGTTTACGTACTGACATTCCCTTGCTTAGTCTACTCCATCTTATAAAAAGGTCCTGAACATTAGGCAGGACTGGGAAAAGACAGAAGGTCACTTCAGTAGTGTCCTGCTAGAGCGCAGAGCAGAATAGGCTGCCTATGGCTTGGTGTGCTGTTCCCACCTACTATTCACTAAGGGTTCTCTTCATCCAGGAGTGCGGGAATAAAGCAGTCAACAATATGAGTTAACGAATGGAGTTAAAAAACATCAACTATTTTTTGAAAGCTTCCTATAGAGTTTAAAATCTGTGGTAGCGAAGTTAAGAGGCCAGTTTGATAAGGAAGTTCTTAAAATCAATGTGAAACGAAAAAAAATCTAAGTAAAAATCTAAGTGAAAGAGTCCCTTTATTAAGAAGCATTTCACATTAATTTCAGTTTCACAGAGTTGATGTTCATAGCAAGCTGAGAAAGTCACCTATTAGGATAAAAACATCAGTCACCACTCATCTCATAATGTCACGTTACAAGATTGCCCTTCAACATATGTTGAATTCACTAACAATAATGGCAGTCAGAATTGATAATAATAGTATTTATCGGACTAGTTCACTAGTGTGGGAGAAAACAAGAGAGATGATATTCACTGCAATTTGGTTCCTGCTCCAACTGCTCCACTGAAACTGCTTTTATAATTACTTAAACCAGCAGGCACCGTTTTTTCCTTTTGTTTGTTAATCTTTGTTGTTTTTCCTTTAATTTGATTCTGCTGATCATCTCTTCTTCATAAATCTCCCTTCTCTCTTGGCTTATAAAGCCACACTCTCCTGGTTTGATTACTATCTGACTGAAAATTCCATCACTAAATCTTCTTCCTATGCCAAATTCTTACATCATCGTCACTATATTATAACTAAAAAATTCAAGTACACACAAATTAAAGTCCCTTCAAAGACGATATTATCACTATTAAAAATGTTAATTATGAAATTCTAATTAAAAACTAAACTCAGGCCCTGGCTTGTGTGGTTCAGTTGTTGTCCCTTACACCAAAAGGTGGCGGGTTCCATTCCCAGTCAGGACACATACGTAGGTTGCGGGTTCAATCCCCAGCTGGGGTGCATGCAGGAGGCAGCCGATCGATGTTTGTTTCTCTCTCTCGCATCTCTCTCTCTCTCTCTCCTCTTCCTCTCTCTAAAGTCAATTTTTAAAAATTAAAAAAACAGCCCGGCCAGGCATGGATCAGCGGTTGAGCATCGACCTAGGATCCAGGCGATCAGGGTTCGATTCCTGGTCAGGGCACATGCCCGGGTTGTGGGCTCGATCAATGGCTCTCTCATCATTGATGTTTCTATCTCTCTCTCTCTCTCTCTCTTTTCCTCCCTCTGAAATCAATAAAGATATATTTTAAAGAAATAATAATAAAAATTTTAAAAAAATTTAAAAAATAAACTCAGAATAAATAAAATTTCTTACAAACTGACTATATTTACTAATCTACAAAATCCCATGTGCCACTGAAAATAGTCCCTGGGCTGCCTCTATACTTTGAAGAGTTGTGTCTTAAAAGGGCTTAGGGTTTTTATACACAGAAAGGAAAAGTAAAATTTCTCCTAACTTGCATTTTTCATAACATTAAAAATGCCCTCAGAGTTGTTAAGTAAAAACCACAGGTATAAATATAATACAGTAAGCTTATGTGCTTATGTTCTATTTCCAATGACAGAAATCCCAAAGAATCTTCCAGAAAAATAACAAGTAAATTCACCAGAGGCAACAGAAACTACTCTGAGTCCAGCATTCTATCAACTAGAAATCCTTGCTGTACTTCTGTAAAGCACCTCTGGACTTTAAGGTACAAGCATTGTTAGTTCTCAAATAATGACCCCAAGGCCTACTAGGATGCAAAACTGACTTGTATCAGTGATGAAAAACTGAATTATTTTGAATATTATACTCAAATGCTGTATATGGTAATTCTATATAAACCATAATATTCAATTAACTAATTTTTTCTCCCAATTGTTAAACTGTACAAGATCAGAAAAAAAAATTCTTCAAATTTGAAAAATTAAAACTAAGGAAAGATCATTTCAGCTTTGGCAAGTCTGGCCTTCCATTTTAAACATCACAAAATGTAGAAAGCACAGAGAAAGTAGTTCAGCTCAGGCAACTGGTACAGTTCTCACTCCCATGGTTCCACCTACGCCTGATGCAAACCCCCCCACTTACAGCAAATCACTTGAAACATACAGACAATGCTCACCTCCTCTATCACAAGACACTATGACAGCTTGACATTTAGGTCTATAAGAATGCATTTCCTTAAGAGACAAACTTATCATGAAACTGCTTTCATTAACAAGTAAGTTAGGAGTCAGAATTTTACTGTTGATTCACCTCTTTTTTTAAAAAAATGAGTAGCCTAAATGCTGATATCCTCCAACTGTAAATGAAACAGTCTGTTCATTCAAGATGTGAATCTTTTGTCCCTCATCTGCTACCCATCTGACTTCACACTGTGCACTTCTTGAGGACAAAGACCTTATCCCATTGATGTCTGCATGCCTGTCACCAGCATGGTGTCTGGCATGAGAAAGCTAAGACTGCACCCACAGAAAGTAAACATCCATCCAAGTATTTATTGGATAACTAAATCAAATTGCTAAAGCTATAGCTGTGGCACATCTAAGGATACCAAGACAGCTAACACATTCTTTTCTCACATGGCCCCTCCAGATTATTAAATTTCGATGTGACAAGGCTCTAACAGAGTAGTACAGGAGCACCTACGGAGCTCTAGCAGAAAGAATGTCTGACTCGCCCGGCCGGGCGTGGCTCAGCAGTTGAGCATCGACCTAGGATCCAGGCGATCGGGGTTCAATTCCCGGTCAGGGCACATGCCCAGTTGCGGGCTCGATCAATGACCCTCTCATCATTGATGTTTCTATCTCTCTCTCTCTCCCTCTCTTTTC